ATCTGTGCTTACTTATATGTCTTTATTTCACAGCTCACCACTACCATCCTCACCTTCCCACCCAAAATAAAGGAATGAAAGCAATGTGTTTATGTAGCATGATTATATAGTCAAATCTCAGGTCCTCTCTGAGGCTCAACTGTATTCAAATTTGAATATTGAGATTTTAATTGTATTATAACATACCCTAAATATAGAGTACATCTTGTATATAGTGTGCGAAAGCCGGATGCCAGTAGCTCACACCTGTAATCCTAGCTACCTCAGAAGGATGAGATCTGAGGATCACCCTTTACTTATCTTCTTAATTTTATTTTATTGTCACGGTGATGTACAGAGGGGTTACAGTTACATATGTAAGGCAGTGAGTACATTTCTTGTCAAACATTGTTACTCCTTCCCTCATTTTTCTCCCACTTTCCCTGCACCCCAGTCCCCTCCCCAAGTTGTGAAGTTCATTTCCAACGTACTGTCTTGTGAGTACTGCTGTTGCATTGGTTTGCTCTTTGTCCTTTGTCTCACCATTTTGTTGCTCCTCTTCCCTTCCCTAATTCAGATAAATGTATATACAATATCCAGGTCACCAAAATCAAATACAGTGACAACAGGGGATAAATCATAGGAAGAAAAAAGTGAATGAAAGAAAAAAGAAATAACTTCACATAGTATATTAAAAACAACAACAAAGAAAAACCTCTTGTGCCCATGTCTTGGAGTTCATTTTGCTTATATGGTCATGTATACATAGCTATTGAGCTATTATGTGAGGATCTCCCTTTAAGGCCAGCCTGGTCAGGAAAGTTTGTGGGATTCTTATCTCCAATTAATCATCAAAAAGCAGAAAGTGTATGGGGGGGGTGCTGGGAAGGTGGCTCAGGGCTAGAGTGCTTGCCTTGCATGCATGAAGCTCTGGGTTTCATTCCTCAGCACCACACAAGCAAAAGTGGCACTATGGCTCAAGTGGTAGAACGCTAGCCTTGATCTGAAGAGCTGAGGGACAGTGCCCAGGCCCAGAGTTCAGGACCCACGACTGACAAAAAAAAAAAAAAAGCAGAAAGTGGAGCTGTGATTCAAGTGGTAGAGCATCAGTCTTGATTCAAAAAAGCTAAGGAATAGTACGTAAGGCCCCAACTTCAAGTATGGGGGATGAAGGGGCATGTGAAAAATCTGTGTTCTGGCAGAAAACATTTCTATTCTACCCTATGAAAACTAAAATTTTACTTGTTTCAAAATTATTTCAACCAGAACTACAACCATGCAGGCAGAACTGTACAAATGATGGCACTATGATTTCAAACAATAGAGGAAAAGTGATTTATACCCAAAGGATCCTTGATTCTTCATACAAGTAAAGCACAATTGGATATAATTAATTTGCTTGAACATTTCTTGGCTGTGCCATGACAAGATCATGAGCTACATGGAAACCTAGAGTAGACTAAGAATTCCTTCTCATCAGTACGATTCTTTGCCAGCTTCTTCCATACAGTACAGGTCCACAATGGATGGCCAATAAGAGTTTAAGACAAGCATCTCAGTCAAAGTCCCTTTGCACCATCTCCTCTGAGGAGGTCTTGGAACTCTACTGAATGAAAGAACTGCCCTGTGCTTTACAAAGATACACAGCAAGCATATGACACAGTTAAGAGTAATTCAAACATGCTATCACCTTATCGCCTACTCAAGGATTTTCTGACAGACCACGTGGACTCCAGCATGCTGGTGTCCTCAGGAATTCCCATTCAAGGTTGAACCTGAAACTTCCTTCTTTGCTTACAGCAGCTATTGAAGTTACCACAGGCTACTACTACAGTGGGTGCTTACAATTTGGGGGAAGGGGAGTACTGAAGATTGACTCAGGACTTCACACCCTCACTTGGCTTTTTCACTCAAGACTGGCAGTCTACCAGTTGGGTCACAACTCCATTTTCAGTTTCTTTGCTGGTTAATTGCAAATAAGACTCTCGTGGCCTGGGAATGTGGCTTAGAGTTAGAGTGCTTGCCTAGCATGCATAAAGCCCTGGGTTCAATTCCTCATTACCACATACACAGAAAAAGCTAGAAGTGGCACAGTGGCTCAGTGTTAGAGTGCTAGCCTTGAGCAAAAGAGCCCAGGAAGAAGCTGGGACTTGTGGCTCAGTGGTAGAGTGTTTGCCTAACATACATGAAGCCCAGGTTTCAATTCCTCAGTACCACATAAACAGAAAAGGCTGGAAGTGTCACTGTGAGTCAAGTGGTAGAGTACTAGCCTTGAACAAAAAGAAGCTCAGAGACTGTGCCCCAGGACTGGCAAAAACAAAACAAAACAAAACACTAAATTGTTAGTTGGGCACAAGTTGCTCACAACTTGTAATCATATTTACTCAGGAGGCTGAGATGTGAAGCTCATGATTTGAAGCTAGCCCGGGCAAAAATGTACTTGTGAGACTCTTATCTTCAATTAACCACTCAAAAACCTGAAATGTCACTGTGGCTCAAAATGGTTGAGCACTAGCCTTGAGCAAAAGAGCTCAAGGAGAGTGCCCAGGCCCTGAATTCAAGCTCCATGACTGACCAAAAAAAAATAAAAGAAAATAAATAAAAGAAACAAAGGATCTCATGGGCCTGTTGGCTTTGAACTAAGGTCCTCGGATCTCAGCCTCCTGAGCCAAAGGAACCCAACAAGTGCTGATAATATACATGGCCTCAACATTCATTCTGAAACAGAAGTTTAACTTTTGAAGATCAAAATCAGAATAGTATTACCTGTGACACATTTTCTAATACCACACCCCACTCAAATAGTCCAGGCAGTATCCGCTGTTTAGAATTTAGAGGCATCTCTCCCACTTAGGAGGTGAAGGGTGTCAGTTTCTCTCTACCTCCTTTAAAAAGGCCACTTAGCCATTAGATATCAACTTAAGAGGGTCACAGCAGGACTCCTGGAACGTGTACTGCTTTGCTATAAGGTCACCAACCATGTCCCCATCCTGGAGATATGTGAAGGTGTAGGCATGACTCCCTGGTCTCTTCCTGCCCAGGTATCCTGATATCCGTCCCTACTTGTTCCCCAGGAACCACAGTACTAAAGAAATTCCTGAACGTTCATGTTGCATTGTATCACCAAGGCTTCCTATAATCTCTCACATCTGAGAGACGTCTACAGGAGATACATGAAGGTGAGTCATCTGTGCTTGCCCTTCTGTCTGGGCCTCTGCTGGGGACAATAGCTACCAGCATTGGTATTAACTCAACTGAGTTCATTACCAACCAGATTTGCTGACTTTCATTCAGCACACCTGGAATAATACCTCATTCTTCACACATGATTTAAGAACATTGATGCCTATTTTCAAATGTCTCACTCAGAGTTTTAAAGGCCGTGTAGCTTTAAACTATAAAGTCCACTGCTGGTGGCTCAGGCCTGTATTCTTAGCTGCTCAGGAGACTATCTGAGAATCAAGGTTTTAAACCATCAGAGCAAACAGTTATGTGAGACCTTTATCTCCAATTAACCAGCAAACACACACACACACACATATATGTGCATGCATGTGCACACACACACATTTACACAAACTCACAAGAAAAACTAAAGTTAAAAACAAACCAAACAATAGGGCCAAGGTGGTCAGATACACTTGTCTTTCCCATTTTTGCTTTAAATGAAGAAGATTGTCATACTCATCAAAGAATTTTAAAAAATCAACAATCTAATTTATTTATATTTCTCAATCAGTTGTCAAAAATCTTACCTTGCAGTATGGGGATCCTAGACACACAGGTAGTGAGTGGTTTGACAACAAGCAACATTGGTTTAAAATGATGATGTTCTTAGGTTATCTAGTAAAAACTACAATCATGTAACTTTTTTTTAACTTTATACTTATTGTTGTTGTTGTTTATTGAACCAGAGTTTTGCTATGTAGCCCAAGGGGATCTTGAATTCTTTTATCTGCTTGCTTTAACCTTGTGAGGGCTGGGATTCAAGGTGTGCTTACACTATGCCTGGCTGGCTACAGTGTAACTTTTCAAAGTTACATTGTTAAAAATGTTAATCATGGGCAATTATGTTAGAAACTCACATCAATGTAGTAAGAGGAAAGAATGAAATGTTTCTCTCTACATAATGATTCTACTCTTGCCAGATCTGAGGAAAATACCCAATTGCAGGACTGTCAGACCCACAGGGACCCCTTGTGTGGTTACCTGACTACCTGTGGAGCAGGTAGAGAATTTCACCTCCCAAGAGTTTCATTAAGGTGTGCGCAGTACAATCCAAAGGGTTTTGATTCAAAGAGGAGTTGGTTATTCCTAGGGGAGGGTTCCTCTTAAAAGGTCAACAAATAGCTAGTTAGCAAGAAAGCCTGAATGGCAACCAAACTTTTCAGAGAAGGGATACACGCCGAGAGAGGCGGAGGGAGAGACAAGAGATGAAGTCTATCCTGCAATCCTCAGCTAAGACCAAACGTGCATACATGTATAGATCTATTTTGACCTGAATGGGGTTCTCTGTGCTTTGTCTCATGTTCTAAGCAATCCAGACCCTCCTTTCCCCAGAAGAAGTTAGTAAGCCTGAAAGAAATAGAACTGAATGCCATCGTGATATAAAATCATTTTGGGTCGTCTGCCACAGCACGATGCCTTGGGAAGGTCGCAGGTATCCAGTCAGAAGAACAGGAGGGCAGCAGCCGCGGACCAAGGACCAAGGCAGCCTGTTTTAAAGCGTTACAGCGCCTGGGCGGCCAGGAGGCCTGGGCGATGCTGTGTTCTTGCCCCAAAGCAGAAGCAAAACTGTCGTTTTCAGCCAGGACGCCTCCAACCGCGCTCAGGCTCCCCGCCAGCGCGCCCATCAGACCAATTTCCAACTAAGTGAACTCCAATATCCAAGTAACCCAAACAAAAGTCTAAAAGAGGGTGCAAAACTTCACGAGAACGGGGTGGGAGGGGGGGCTTTCCACAAGCACCCGGGAAATTGGAACCTTGGAGAGGCCCCCCGGGGCGCCAAGGAGGCCTTTTACCTTCTAGCGAGCTGCGGCGGTCCGCGACACTGCTCATCCTGGCTCCGCTCTGGCTCCAGCTCCGGATCCTGCTGCCTGGCGATCTGGCTATCCCGGCGATTCCGGGCGATCCTGGCAATCTCGCCGAGGCGGCGCCTCCTCTGGGACGCGCAGGTGCACCTTCTGCTGCGGGGCGCTCGCCAAGCCCAGAGAGGAATGAGGACACAAGAGGATCCTTTCTCGCAGCCACGCCGGCTCCAGGGCGCGCTAGCCGCCGCCCCGTGGCTCTCTATTAATACTTGGAGCATAGCTAACTCTGGGCTTAACCCTGAACATGGTCCCTTGGCAAGGGTAGGGTCACATGCATTTCATCTCGGGGAGCTGAGAAGAGGGACCTCTACCAGCCCAGGCCAGGGAATAGAAGAGGCCTGGGGACTCTCCTAGGCCAGTTGCACGTGTGACACCCTCCCTTCGCTTTTCCCTTCCAGGCTGGCTCTCTAACCCTTGAGCTACAGCTCCACTTTTGGATGGTTCATTGGAGATAAGGGTCCCCTGAACTTTTCTGCTCTGGATTGGTTCCAACGGCATTCCCCAGACCTCAGCCTCCTGAGTACCCAGGATTTGTTGGTTTGTTTGCTTTTTTGTTTATTTTGGACAAAAACCACCTTGCAAGAGCTGACCTGGTGGGCAGAATCCTTAAGCTAAATACGAGGCTCCAGCCACCAGCTCAGACAGCCTATTTAGGGTATGTGCTGCAAAGGGAATCGCTCCCCTTCCCCCATTCATGCAGTTGCCTTGACGTGACATTTAAGAGTTGTATAAGTGAATCTCTTTCCTGATCAGGTTTCAGCGGCCTCTGCCTCTGTGAAGCAGGGGAGAGGGAGAGGGGTGAACATTTTGTTTCCAATTGATTCTGTGGCAAAAGTAGAGGGCAGATTTAAAAGGTCCAGCAGTTTGGGGGCCTTTGATTAAATTTTCCTTAACACTGTTTCTGCTTGCTCAAGCCCCTGAAATTTCAATTTTGCCATATTCCTCTGTAAATTTAGCCAGTGAGCATGACTAAATTATATCCATCCAGCAGATCTGATTCCCCAAAGCAAATTCTCTTAACAACTAGCTAGCAGGGGCTGTTGGTATGACAGGAACCATAAATTAATGCCATTTCAATAATGTTACATTTATGGCAACTAGATTGTAGAAATGCTGAAAAGAAAAAAAATTATTTGAAATTTGCTCTCCTTTGGCACAGAGTCTGGTATCATTTCTTCTAATAGTAAAGAACTTGGAGCTGGATACAGGTGTTCACACCTATAATCCTAGCTACTCAGGAGACTGAGGTCTGACAATCACAGTTCAAAGCCAACTTGCACAGACAAATCTGAAAGACTCTTATCTCCAGCAAAAAGCTATCACTGGAGGCATGGCCCAACTGGTAGACAGTTAGCTGGAGACAAAACAAACAATCAAATGAACAAAAAAGACTGAGCAGGAAAGGAAGGCCTTGAACTTAATTCAAAGTACAGGAACAATCTATCAGTCCAATTTAAAAAACATACTTCAAAGCCAGGTGCTGGTGGCTCACACCTGTAGTCCTAGCTATTCAGGAGGCTGAGAGCTGAGGATCATGGTTCAAAAGCTAGCCTGGGAAGAAAAGACCCTGAGACTCTTATCTCCAATTAGTCACCAGAAAACTGGAAGTATAGTTGTGGCTCAGAGTAGTAGAGTACTAGCTTTGAGCAAAGGAGCCCAGGGATAGTGTCCAGGACCCACAAAAGACAAAAACCAAAAAAAAAAAAGAGGGGGGGGAGAAAGGAAAAGAAAAAAAAAAACCCAAACTACAATTTATCTTAGCTAGGGGCTGGTTGTTCATACCTATAATCTTAGTTCATGCATATAAATCCTACTCAAGAGGCTGAGATCTGAGGACTGTGGTTCAAAACCAAGCTTCAGCAGGAATGTCTGTGAGACCCTTATCATCATTTAGCCACCCCAACAACAACAGTAGAACTGTGGCTCAAGTTTTAGTGCACCAGCCCTCTGAGAACAAGCTAAGCAAGAGAGCAAGGTTCTGAGTTCAAGCCCCAATATTGACACATATTTTTGAAATTATTAAGTGTTAAGGGGTTACAGTTCTATCTACATTTTTTCAAATAAATAATCAATCCTTTCTAGTATGCTTATAATCACAGTTATTATTAGAAATGTTAAAGTTAGTAAAGAGAAAGTTCTCTGAAGAGGAAATAAGAATGGCCCATAGACACATGAAGAAATGCTCAACTTCTCTAGCAATAGAAGAAATGCAAATCAAAACAACATTGAGATTACACCTCACCCCAGTTAGAATGGCTATAATCAAGAACTCTAATAACAACAGATGCTGGAGGGGATGTGGCCAGAAGGGAACCCTACTGCCTTGATGGTGGGAATGTAAACTTGTTCAACCACTTTGGAAAGACTCCACATAGAGCTCCCCTATGACCCAACAATCCCACTTTGGGCATTTATGCAAATGATCACAAACAAGGGTATACTAAAGCTACCAGCACAACTATATTTATCACAGCATTATTTATGATAGCTAAGATATGGAACCAACCCAGATGCCCTCAGTAGATGAATGGATCAAGAATATATATATATCTGTGTGTGTGTATACAATAGAATTCCATATATATAAACTCCATATATATATGGAATTCTATATATAAATTCTATATATATAAATTCCATATATATATGGAATTCTATATTATATTTATATATATATATATATATGGAATTCTATGCCTCCATCAGAAAGAATGACATCGCCCCATTTGTTAAGAAGTGGAAAGACTTGGAAAAAATTATATTAAGTGAAGTAAGCCAGATTCAAAGAAACATAGGTCTCATGGTTTCCCTTATCTGCAATAACTAGTATATGTCCAGGATAAGCAGAAGAGGTCAAAAGCTATGTACATATGACCATATAACCTGATGCTAAGTGAAATGAAACCCATGATAGGGCCACAAAAGGTTTTATCTTTGTTGCTGTTCTTCTTAATGTACTTATAATGTACTATGTGATTTTTTTTTTGTTTCTTTTATATGTTCTTTCCCCATGGTATAACCCGTTTTCACTGTATTTGATTCTGGTGCCCTACATCTTGTATATACATTTTTCTAATTTGGGGAGGGGAAGGGAAAAAACAAAATGCTTAAATAGGGATACAGGATGACCGATTGTAACCATGAGATGTACAAGACACTCTGTGGAAAATGAACTTTACAACTTGGGGGGAGGGAGAAAGTAGTTGAGGAGGTAGGGAGCCTGCTCATGGTAACTAGTGTCAACTCCTGTTGAATCTCAAATCTCCCAGTGTGAGACCATCCAGGACCTATTAGATCCTGAATGGACTGCAGAAATGTCCATTTACAAATCAGAACAAAGATTCCCCTCTTATTTTCCCACCAAGCAGAGACTATGACCTTCAAAATTCTTTACATTGGCAGCCAGAGATGGCCCTGTGTGCTTATCTCTTGGTGGCTCATCCCAACTATTATATTTATTCCTATAACAAAGCCATTATCGTAGATTTTATTTTGGGGGGCTTCAATGCCTACAGAGTTCCCATGTGCTGGTCATGAAGGTTTTGAAGAAAGGTCTTGCATGCAGAGACCTCTAATGTAGCTTGAAGAGATGGACTTAGGGCCAGCTACTGACCAAATGGGAAGTGGAGGAGCCACAGCTGAGAGCAGATCATTCTGTCTGGGGAATTAAATAGTGCTTCCAACTAGAAGTAGTCAACTAGAAAGACTTGCAAATTGCCACTAATGATAGTTGCTATAGTGTCCTGAGGTACACGCTCTGCCAATGACTTTACATACATATCTTCTTATAATCTTTAGAAGGACAGGAATTCATTTTCCACCAATTTGAATAAGGACAAATCAAGATTTATACTAAGTAATGTGCCCAAGAACAGGTAGTTGAAGATTTTCAGAACCACAATCAATGGTTATGAACCCTGTTCCTTATCTCAACTCTGAACTACAGTGGTTGACAGCACACTCCCTGAAATATACAAAAAAAATAGGCCAGCTGGTACAGAAGGAAGGTGAATCACACCAACCTAGCCACTGTCTTCACTGAGGAGCTTCTACTTGTCACAATAAGAGGAGATATACATCACCCTTAAGAAAGATAGAGTCAGGGCAACTGCCTGAGAACACCATTCATTAACTCATAAATCCATTGGACATTTCACACTAAACTATATCATTTACCTAATCCTTTCAACTATATCAAGCACACGCACATGCACACACACACACACACACACACACACACACACACACACACACACACACATTTTCTGGAAGCCAATTTCATTCCAACAGATTCCCCTTATAACTCTCCAAAGGATTAGAAAGAATAAGGAAGGGCTGCTCCATGCAGAGCTGACCACTGGACAAATTTACTTGAAGTTGAAGAGCATGTTAAACAGAAAGCCAAAGTAGAGAAGGAGCACCACACACTTCTATTCTGTGGGATTATCTCTACCATTCACACACCTCCAAGAATGCCCATGGATTGTGTGGGTCTGAGAATTTAGTTGCATGTTCAACTCAAAGACAGCAAAAGCAGTGATGAAGATTCCAATCCTTGGTGCCAGACAAACATGGTGTTCAAATGGTGACCTAATCCATCAGTGATGACCCAGTACAGGGTTAGTCTAATACTACCAGCAATGGGTGGTAGCATAAGACTCCCCCTCTGTCAGATGGGATTACCAAACAAAGTTTAGGGAGGTTTGGTGTGATATCTATACATTGGTGAAGAAGTGCTTTCAGTCACTAGTAGCAGAGATAAAAATTAACAGTAATTTAAATATTTTTCCTAATTTAACATGGACATTGAAGATAGATTGATGAAGTCGGTATTACAGAGCCACGCTTCTTGAGGAACCTAGGCACCTTTGAATTTTGTTTTCCAACATCTTCAATGTAGAATTCTAGATTCAGGGTTTCTTCATTGTCACAAAATGTCTGTCAAAACTCCAGGCTGACTCTTGTTCATTTTTC